GGAAGCCGGCGGAGGCGGGCGGTGATGGAGGTGTGAGGCGGCCGCGGCGGCAGCAGGGCTGCTCGGGGAATGTGAGGCGGCGCGTGGCGGCAGTGCGGAGCGAGTGAGGCGCGGAGCAGGGGTGGGGGCGCTGGAGCAGCGGCTCTCCCGCGGCTTGGAGCCCCGATCCTTTGGCCCCGACCCCGTGTCAGCACCCGTCGACCCTTCAGCCCCCTCGGCTGCCGCCGCCGCCGCGCGGCCCGCCCCGGAGCTGGGGGCAGGGGGCCGTTGGAAGCGTGGAGCTCGGCGCTCTGATTCATTCATTCCCTGCCGACGGGAGCCTCGGCCCCGCTGTGCTCCGCGAAGAGAGGGGGGAAAGAGAGGGCAGCCGCGGATGAAGGGCCGGGCGCGCGCCGGGCTCCATTGTGCTCGGCAGCGCGGGGCGGGAAGGGGCTGAGGGAGGTGGGATCGGGCCCCCTCTCCCTGCGCCCCTGCGAGCGCGGCGCCCCCCAGCCTGCTGCCAGCCTGGAAATGGCTCCGTTGATGCTCTTCGGGGGGATGAGTCGATCCTGCCCTGTCTTCTCTGCCTCCTGCCCGCCTCCTCTCCGCTGAGTCTTAGGAGGGGCAACATTCAAAAAGACAAGAGTCCAATGTGGAGCGCCGTGCACGTCGCGAGCTGCCGGGTTAGCACTTCGAGGAGGTTTTTCGCTCTCCATTTTTTCCTGATGAATGTGAACCTAGGGAAGCAGTGGCATTCCCGCTTGTAGGATTCTTCTCCCGCAGGGAATCTGGAAAGCGCACGTCGCGTTGGGTTGCATGCTCCACCCCCAGGGACTCGGCGTGGAGAAATTTGAACCCGTAGCCTTAGTAGCACCGGAACGGCGCCGAGTTACCTGGCGCTCCCCGAGGGTCGAGGAGGACATGTGCGAACCAACCAGGCAACTCCCTTTTTTATAAGACTCAGAAGCCGGACTCTGCGTTTTCCTACACGTAGACTCATTTTTGCAATCGAAGTGACCGCTGTCTCCTCCGCGCCGCATTTTAACTCTTAAAAAAAAAAACAACAAAGAAGCAAATGCCACCTCACTTAGTTTGAACGTTTTTTTTTGTTTTTGATATTTACAAGAGCAAGCATTTTACTGAAGGAAACCGTCAGCATCGTTGAAATACCTCCGGAAAAGGACCTCGGGGGGTGGAAAAGCAACTGCGAAATAGCAGACGGCGAGATTCCTTTCGGAGTGATTCCGTAGTAGCTAAAGAGCCGAAACTTCCGAGCAAGTTTTCATTGGGCAAAATGGGGTAAGGATTTTTTGTGCTTGACGCCACTTCGAACCTGTCTTATGTGTGCGTTACTGCCGGGTGTTTTGTGTGTGGACATACACTTGCCACCTTCTTGCCGAGATGGTGTACACTTTAGAAAATACAGGCAAGCTAACCCCATTAACACTGTATTTTTGTATTCTTTTAGCGTGACGCCCGGAGGTCACATACAGTTAAGGAACGGCGCGGCTAACGTTAGGAGCCTGCATATCGTTTTATCTTTCATAGCTAAGGGAATGCATGCTCCACAAACAGCTCTCTCAGCTTTTGACCAAATCCCATAACCTGAGGGTTGGTTACCTGCATCTCTGGCGAGAAGGACGGCCTTTCTGGCCGCCCCTCGAGAAGATCCCTTGCACAGAGGGACCAGTTGTAAAAGTCATGGTCGGCTCGACGACAGCCCTTGAAACTGCTCCAGTGTGCCCGGTGCCCTCTGTTTTGCCCTTGAGTATCCAGAGCTGAAACAGATTGATTGGGGGAGACTTTAAAGTCCGCTGATGCAGACTCGGGAGGACTGTGCAGTCAGGAAATCAGAACTGGAATAGGAGGGGAGTGTGGGAAGCGTTTTGTCAAGGGACTGGTTCACGGTTTCCGTTTTAAAAAAGAATAACTTAGAAGCTCAGGTGTTTGGGTTAATAGTGCCAAATCAATGCGTTCTTTCAGTTCCAAGTCCAACCAGGAGTGCATTTTGCCAACCTTTGATCAAGGCTGTAGCTCGACAAATTTCTAGTGACTCTTCTTATTAAAGGCGGAAACTCATAAGATATTAATGGAAAACCAATCTAGTGTCACTGGCAGATGGTCAGTGCATATATGCAAAAGAACCTTGAACACATTCGTTTCTCTCCCCCCTCCACAACACACACACTTTCTCTCTCTCTGTGTTTGTGAGAGAGAGAACAAACACATCTAAAGGATAGTTGGGCAAATTTCAAACTATTAATTTTTTGTGAGATTTTAGGGCTGTACACGCACTTCTCACAACTTTCCCAGGGAAGTTCTTGGAGGAGTGCGTACCTTTTTGTCGGAGTTAGCATTTGAAGTTTATTGATTTGAACAGCATTGAAAACATTGTAAGAGCCTTTTCTCAGGAGGAAAAAGATGATACTTGTTTTTAAAATGAAATTTCAATTTCATTATATATATATGAACTTTATATATAAAGTCTCCCATGATTTGGGGTAGTACCTGGAGCATTTAAAAGACTTCATTCTATCCGGTAGGGCTCACAAGCAGGGTGTTTAACTTCTGTGGGCTGTTGACTACAAAATGAAGAACTTGGACCAGATGGGCTTTGAAGACTTTTCCAGCCTGTCAAAATGAATCTCTTTCATTTGCCCCTCCTCCCTCTTTTAATGATCAGTAGTTGGTTTCTTAAAGTAGGTTTTTAAGATGGATCTGTTATTCTAATCAGTTTTTAAGCTGGGAAATAATGGCATTTGAAAAATGTTCTGGATGAGTTCCACCAATTTTAAATGAGATTCTGAAAACTACTACTAATTTAAAGCCTTTGAAGCACTGCTCGAGAATCTGCAACTCTTCTGGCTAAGCTATCTTGTAGCAAAACAAACAAACAGAAATCAAGCGGCAGTTTTTCACATCAACTGCTTTCTCTAGACTGCGGAGTAGAAGCATCTGGAAAGAAAAAGCACTTGGTCCCAACCTTTGAACTTCATGAAAGTCCATTTTATCCAGGGTGAATGTCAATATTAAACAACTAGAATTTAAAATTGTAAAAATAAGCCTCTCTGCCCTGGCCCTATGTGTAAATACTACAGCATAATTAAATTAGCATGTGAAGTAGTTATTTGTCCTTTGGTTGATAGTCTTAAAGGCAGACTAAGGAGGAAAGAGCGCAGGTATTTGTGGCTTTATTCTAGAAGTCCGTATTTGGGGCTGTGACCCTTTTCACCCACAGTGACTTCTGAGAGGAGGTATAGGTGGAAGTAGATTGGAAGAGCATAAAGAGAAGGCCATTGTGCTATATAAGTTAAGAATCTGAACATTGTAGATGTTTATATCTAATAAATGCTTGTGGAATCAGCATAGCTGCCTGCACCTATTTAAACCAAAGGAAACAGCTTCAAGTGGCCTTTAAAGTTTTACCCAGGCAATACTAAATTACCTTATTCTGACCCCCAAAATCCCACTGCATTTGAGTTGATTCCTACGTACAATGACCCTTACAGGTCAAAGTAGAAGTGCTCCATAGGCTTTCTGAGACGGTAAGTTTTTGTGGAACAGACTTCCTCATCTTTCTCCCATGGAGCAACTGGTGCATTTAAACCACCAGCCTTTTGCTTATCAGCCCATTGCTTAACTCTGTACCTCCTGAGTTCCTCAGGCAGGTATCCGACGTTTAGTATAGGGCAGTGGTTCTCAACCTTCCTAATGCCTAGACCCTTTTAATACAGTTCCTCATGTTGTGGTCCTCCTCCAACCATAAAATTATCTTCGTTGCTACTTCATAACTGTAATTTTGCTACTGTTATGAATCGGACGACCCCTGTGTGTAAGTGTTCGGCCCACAAAAGGGTTGCGACCCACAGGCTGAGAACCGCAGCTATAGTGGGTGAAGGGTGCTATATATAATGAATATATTAGCTAATCTTAGATTTTAGTAAGAGTTTTTCCTTTGCGTCTACAATGGAGATAATTTTTAAGGGCAAACGCCGCAGAAGTGAGTGTTTAGAAAAGGAGTGATTGGGTGGAAAGGAATCTGGCTCCTGTAATAATTTATGAACCCTGGAACTGAAAAGAACAGCTGAAACTGACAGTTGCCTGAGTCTGTCAAAGGATCTTGGATGCTGCAGGAATTGTTTTTAATTGCAGTGAAGACGGCTGAAGTATGGGCTTGTAAAGTTGTACCGGACACCTAAAGGTTAGGGCATTCATGATGTAACATAAAATCTATGAAAAGCTTCAAATCTCAGGGAGAAAAGCTCTCCCCTTTCCTATCTCGCTCCCCTCCCTCTACCCGCAGCCTCTCAATGAGAGCCATGAGTCATTAGCTATTTCAGAGTTATCAGACTGGTCAACAGAAATCAAGTGCTTCAAACAGTTATTTCAGACTGTCTTTTGAATTGTTGCTTAGGCCACGTTGCCAAAGGACTAGGGCATTCTCACCACAATTAAACTAGCTCTATATAAAGTGCAAAGTTAGGAAAGTTCTGGTTTATTTCACTTGCCTGTCAAGCCTCTGGAAACTGGTCTCTCCTCCCAGATAACTTGTGGAGCCATGGAAGTGGTTGCTGCAGCACTGCAATCTGAACCGAGCCCCTTCAGTGCTCAATGGCAGGAAGCTGACACCTGCCTTGGGCTGCCAGGTGCTGTTGTCTGGGGGCTGGGGGTGGGGTAGCTACCTTGTGGAAAGCTTGATCCAGCATTGCAAACAGGAATAGACTTTGTTATAAAGGCCACTGTGCTATCTTCCTTAAGGGCAAGGAAGTTAGATTCAACTCATTAATATATTTGTTCATTTGAAAAACTGTTGAGCTTCTGTGTTCTGTACTGAGCTGAGTGCCGTTGATTCTGGACTAGTAAAATCTGCTCTTCTTCAAGGCTTGTAGAGTCCTGAGCTGGGGAAGAATAGTTTAAAATAAAATGGACAGTGAAATGTTAGAGGGCCTATCAGATAGGAATTATGGAGGCACAGGTATATCTGTGAGTGTGAGAGAGAGGAGAGGAAGGCTTGTGGAGGAATTGGCGGTAGTGGTGCTGGGTGCTGTCAAATCAGTCCGAAGCCACAGTGACCTTATCTCTGCACAACAGAATGAAAAGCTACCCAGTCCTGCACCATTGTCACAGTCATTTTTATGCTTGAGCCAACTGTTACAGCCACTATGTCAATCCATCTCCCGAGGGTCTTACTCTTTTCATTGCCCCTTTGCTTTAGCAAGCATGATGTTCTTTTCCAGGCTCTGGTCTCTCCTGACAGCATGTCCAAAGTACACGAGAGAAAGTCTCACCGTCCTCGCCTCTAAGGAGCTTTCTAGCTGTACTTCCTCTTAGATGGATTTGTTGGTTCTTCTGGCAGTCCGTGGTATTCGACAATATTCTTCACAATGCTGCAAATCAAATACAGCATTTTTCTTTGGCCTTCTTTATTCACTGTTCAACTTTAAAAAAAAAACATTTTATTGGGGGCTCATACAACTCTCATCACAATCCATACATACATCAGTTGTATAAAGCACATTTGTACATTTGTTACCCTCTTCATTCTCATCACTGTTCAACTTTGACATGCATCTGAGTCATTGAAAATACCATGATTTGGGTCAGGCTCACTTTATCATCCTTGTTCTTCAACACTTGTGCATGCTTTGCTTTCCTGACTGCTGCTCCCATGAGGAGGTGTTGAATGTTGGCTAAGTAGTAGGGGTGGGTCTCATGGACAAATGAGAGAGCATTCAAAGCAAAGGGAGTGGTATGAAAACGCTGAGTCCAGAAAATACCACAAAAGCTTGATAGTTTTACTTTGCAAGGGGTCTTTGGGGGCATAGTGATAAGAGAGCCTTCGGCAGGGGTGAAACGTAGAGGGTCTGTGTACCAAACAAAAGATTTTGTGTTATCCAATGTTGTGTTCCATGAAGTCAAACTATAAAACTTAGTCATTGAGTTGATTCCCACTGATAGCATCAGAGAACTGCGCCTGCACACTTATGAGATCTAGAACCTTTACAGGGATAGGAACCTTCATCTTTCTCCTGAGGAATGCCTGGTGTTTCAGACTGCTGACTTTGTAATTAGAGTGTGCCACCAGGTTTCCTGCAGGGACTCTATAGAAGCCAGAACCCAACTCTGCCATAGAGTCGATGCCAACTCATAGGGACCCTATAGGACAGAGTAGAACTGCCCTTGTGAGTTTCTAAGGCCATAACTCTCTGCTGGGAGCTGCTGACAGTTCAGAGCTCCTGGCTTGCGGATTGCAGCCCAATGTAGCCACTACAGCACCAGAGTCCCTATTATCTTGTTAG